GCGAATGAAGCCTTAGTCATACACAGTTAGTTTCAAACTTATGTTACTGCTCACAGGGAGAAATCAATGTACAGTATATTAAAAACAATCGCCGCGGCCCTTCAGTGATCCAATAGTTTAGCTTTGAATGCATTCAAGCTAATGGGGGCTTTAATGGCTTCTGACAGATCATTCCATTGATCAAGAGGCATGTATGAAATACGCTGCCTATGAAAACTCTGTTTTGATTTGGAGGAGAAAAAAAAAAAAAGCATAAACGTCCATGGTAAACAGGACTTGATTGTTCACATGTTCACCGAGGGGCCGCTCAGCCTGACCCTGGTCGGGAGCAGAGGAGGGAAGGACAGTGGGAATCCTATATACCTGGCCTCTGTTTTCCCGCCTCTAATCAAGGCATAATCAACTGGAAATCTCTGTCTGAAGCGTTGCGGGGTGGGGGCAGGAAGGTGAGCAGAGGTCCAGTTTTACTCTGTTGGATGAGTTATGAGCGGTAGCCTTCTTTTTTTTTTTTTTTTTTTAAATATTTTTATTTATTTCTAGGAGAGAGAGAGACAGCGTGAGCAGGGGAGGGTCAGAGAGAGAGGGAGACACAGACTCAGAAACAGGCTCCAGGCTCTGAGCCAGCAGTCAGCACAGAGCCCGTCGCGGGGCTCGAACCCACGAACCGCGAGATCATGACCTAAGCGAAAGTCGGACGCTCAACCGACTAAGCCACCCAGGCGCCCCATGAGCGGTAGCCTTCTTTAGCTGCGCTGAGGAACGGACTCGGCCCTTCCGGGGCCCTGGGGCTGCTCGGTTGACTGCGAGAGCTCCAGCGTGACAGACGGGATCCCCTCTTTGGAAGGATGAGCAGGGTTTCCAGCCAGGGCGACGGTTTTGCAAAGAAACTAAGGGAAGAATGCACACGCCGCTGTCCGGGTGTGGGCCCCAGGGTGGCACATACCTCTCCGCAGCTGTGGGCATTTCCGCAGGGTGCTCAGGGGTCCGGAAAACTTTCCAAAGGGGCCCTGGCCCTACGCTTGGGCAGAAGGTGTTTACATTCCCCTGTGTTCCGATTGCCTGTTGGGGCCTCGCCTGGGAGCCGTAGGCAGCTCCTGCCTCACACTTGGCCTCACCTGATGGGAAGTGAGGAAAATCCTATACGCCAATCGTGCCGTTGCCCATCAAAATCCAACGGGTCTCACCAAATAAATACTCATAATCTTGCTTCCTTGCATCTGCATAGGGCTTCAGCGTTTAGAAGCGTTTCCACTGCCTTCTCCATTGGGGCAGGCCCGGCAGCGGTGAGGACCTTCTCCTGGGGGGTCTTGTTCAGCTCGCAGACCCTCTCCCTGCCCCGGAAGCTGGGAAGGGCAAGCAGGAAGGCTTTGAAAGTGGCCCCACTCAGGGCATGCTAATCGGTGGCCTTTATTTAATCATTGATACCTAGCAAGTCTGTGAAAGGGGCTTCCCGCGGACAATCACTAAGGGAGCAGGTCAGAATCGTTCTCAAGCACCGGATCCAGAACAACTGGGCTTTTCCTAAATTTCCGGTAGAACGGCCTTGACCTTTGCATCCCCAACCACGGCAGGCACAGAGCTGTCCTAGGCCAGCATTTCCCATCTCTCAGCAGGAAGCTACCGCACTTACCAGATTAAAAAGCAACAGGGAAACCTTGGCTCTCGAAGCACTTCATTTGTATTGGGGCCATGTTTAGCGAGTGGCTTTTGTAAAATTGATGAATTTTGTCTAAAGGCAAGTGCAGACAGGCAAACAGATCTGTAGCTGCTGTGATCCATTTAGCTTGACACACGTGTGCAGAGCAACTACTTTACCTCGATTCTTTCACGACTGATGAAAAGTAAACGTGGGCCAAGTCATGCACTGCATCATTGGAAAAGAATCACTGAATCTAGTGCTGGAAGTTAATTAATGCTCCCCTCCCCTCGAAATAGACTGACCCTGCTGTTCAGACATTCAGAGTCAATAAACAATTGTTGTACACAGATCATCCATCAGAAGGTGGTGGCAAGAATTTTTTTAAAGCAAACCTCAAATGGCAGCGGGTGACCTCATCCTGGTGGAGAAATAAGAGTACCGAAGAGTCATTTTTCATAGCATCTCATTTATAAAAAGTTCCATGCCATCTGCCTAGAAACAAACAAACAAACACACACACAAGCCAGGAGCTGTGAGGCACAAAGGGGAGAATATAAATGGTAACGGATAATTCCGGCACAAGGTACGAGACATGACGTGAATCACTTAACACACACGGCCGTGGTGACGGAAAGGTCCAGTGAGCCGGGCATTACTGTCATCCCTGTTACAGAAACAACGACCGGGTGGGGCGCCTGGGTGGCTCAGTCGATTAAGCGTCCGACTTTGGCTCAGGTCATGATCTCATGGTTTGTGGGTTCGAGCCCTGCGTCGGGCTCTGTGCTGACAGCTCAGAGCCTGGAGGCTGCTTCAGATTCTGTGTCTCCCTCTCTCTCTGACCCTCTCCTGCTCATGCTCTCTCTCAGAAATAAATAAAACATTAAAAAAATAAATTAAAAAAAAGAAACAACGACTGAGGCACAGAGAGGTCGAGTGATTTGCCCACATCACAAAGCGACAACTGTTATCAGAGGAAACTGGGAGAATAACCTTGTAGCTTACACCTCACTGAAGACATGCAGACGGAGCGCTGTGGAGGGTCTTTTCGATGCCACTCCTCCAACATCCCAACAACCTCAGGTGGGAGATACGCTATTGTTATTCCCATTTTGTGGACAGGAAAACAGAGGTTTGAACGGAAGGTAGCCTTAAGTCACACCCAGGACCAGGATTCAAACTGAGTGGGGTGGTCTGCAGCCAGAAGCCTCTATGGGCACCCAGGAATCACAAGGGTAGCTGATCAATGGTAGTGGGATGAATAGATCAGGGGCACAGAGGGGACCAGTTTTCAATCATGGGAGGAGGGGCTGGGCTCATTATCTGGGAGGACGTCTTGCCTCCAAATGGTACGGAGAGCATAAGGGTTGGGACTGTCCTGTGCCGACGGGGTGGGGGTGGGTGTATCATTTCCCCGACAGCCTCCGAAGCCGGCCTCGGCCTCCGGGACCCAGCCGCAGGTGGCCCTGTCCTGCAGGAAGTCATTACTAGTGCTTTTCCCCTTCCCCACCCCGGCCTCTAAAGCTGCCCACCTTTCCGGCAGCGACCATCGCCACCGTTACAACACTCCTGGGCCTTTCCTCCCCTTTATGGTTGTCAAATTGATTTCACCACTGGGGTACCTACGGCTCTCAATGAGACTTAATTAAAAATACCATTTAATCACAAAGTAACAAAGGCACACTGGATAAATGGCATTACCACTTCAGCACGTCCTGATCCGCTCTCTCCTCTCCTGCTCAATCTGTTTGGATGAGAATTGCCTTTTCAAATAAGAATCCACCCCTCCCCCCTCCCCCACTCTTCCATGCACTTGCCTCTGACAGATCTCCAAAATAAACAGTATTTAGCGTGGCATGGATCCAAATGTATGCAATTTGCCCAGTGGTAAAATCAGCCCTAACTAGAGCAGGGGAAGGGAAAAAGAAACTAACAACTAGAAACCAAGGAAAAAAACAACAGTTGCATTCGAAAGTACCCTCCCCTGAAATGTGGAAAAACCTTGTGCTGAATGTAGGGTGTCCATTAAATAGGACCTATGGAATCTCATTTCTGGCATCCCTCGATTCCGTGGGTGATGAATTCAGAAGCTTATTACTAAAATTGTGTCACAAGCGATGCCATGACCCCCGCTTTTTCTGTCTAGCGCTCCCCGTCCTGGGTGGGAGGCTGCGGAGGGGCTGCGGTGCGGGAGCTGTTTGCAGGGAGGCAGCAGGGCGAGGCGCCCCCCACGCAGTCGGAGAGTCTGCAGGACACCTGTCCCCTCTTGAGATCTCGGCCCCCGGTGTAGGAGACCCTGTTAGAAAGAGATACCTTTGGGCGGCCCCTCGGCTAGCTCAGAGACACCGTAGACTGGCCAGGGCCATCATCTCAAAGCGCAAGAATATCACCGTATGTTGTCCCGGCGCAGAACCCCTGGGGTGTTTCTTGGGGCCCTTGGGACCAAATCTACACGCTCTCTAGCTGCCTCTCTCGCTCCTACATTTTCCTGCCTCAGGGCCTTCGTGACTGCTGTTCCTTTTCCTGGAAAGCTCTTCCCCCTCCCTGTCCTTGACCTCCTAATCGAAGCCGGCTCTCATCAGTCCCCAGCACCCAGCGGGTTCCCTTCCCGGCACTTCCGACTATCTTGTTATTTTTCTGCTGGTTTACTGTCTGTCTCCCCTTTATGAGTTCCTGTTTTGGTCACTGCACATCCCTGGCACTCAGCATGGGGGCTGGCACAGAGGAGGCGTTGGAAGGCAGGGACATGTCCTTGGATGCCCAGGGCTCACCGCCGCCGTCGAGGTGTGGTGGGTGGTCAAGAAAGGTTTGTGGGGGAAGGCTTGAAGGGAGAGGGACTCAGGAGCACCTTAGTGCACAGGGAGCTCATCGGATCACTTGGCTCAAGATGGCTGGGCGCCGGGCGTGGGGAAGCTGGGCAGGAAGCACGTGGGGACAGCTCACGGAGGTCCCAGGGCCAGGCTGCCTACTCCCTCGACCACACACATGGCCCGAGGTCCCAGGAACATCCTTCCCTAGCTCTCAGGGGAGAAACAGGCCTTCCCTTGGCCTTGCAGGAACTCAACTGATGGCCAGTGCCCGCTGCAACCCACTTTTATCGTCTCTCACCGTCCTTCCTTCTACCCACCCGAACCCCCCCGGCAGGGGGTACATGATTCTCAAACACGCGGAGCTCATGCTTCCTCAAAGCCATCGTTCCTTCTGCGAAAACAAGATCTCACCTTTTGGGTTCACTTATGGGTAGTGGCTTCTCCAACCTTGGCTGACCCCGCCTGGAGGCCTTCGAGAACTGTCTCTACCCACTAACCCCACCCAAGCCAAGGAAGCCACCAGCGTGCAAGGAGAAAAGAGCAGAGCGCCTCCCTCGGGTTCTTATCTTCTCCTTTTAATAGTTTTATTGTTTACGAATGTTTTATGATGTACACGACATATTACTACAAGTAGTTCACAAATAGAGCTCAATAGTAATCACACATATCGGGGTTAAGCACTAAACACGATTATCTATTTCTACGGCAGGGGCGCAAGCAAGTGGGTTTGGAGACTGCTGACAGGAAGGGGTCAGGTTTAGGAAAAATGATGAGAGGGAACAACCAGGGCCGTGGAGGGCTCCCATCACGCCGTAAGAGCGAGAAGACACTACTTAGCTCGTTGCCATGCCAGGATGGAGGTCTCGGAAGGCCAGATGTTCGGAATTCTACAGAGAATACATACGCTTTTATTTTAGGTGAAATCTCCCAAGGTCTAAACACTGGCATCTAATGAGCTTGAACACAGAACAAGCACTGGGACTAAATAAAATGGGAGGTGCCCGGGCTGTGACTTCTATGTGCCCCACGCTCCTTACCGCCACGACTTCATTTAGCCTCGACATCAGCCCTCTGAGGTGGCACCTCCTGTCTCGTCTGCTGATGAGGGACTCAGGACTGAGAGAACCGAGTCTCCAGCTGATGAATCCCTGGCTTCTCTGGGTAACACGGCCTTTCAGGGGTTAACTCTGCAGATGTGAACTCTACCTTGAATCAGGGGGCTCTAATGGCAGGATGGAGTTTGGTTCTCTGTGTGCCTCAAAATGGGCCACACGGCTTTTCAGCTTCCAAACTACTGCTGTAAGCCGCTATGAGAGAAGGCAATGGGCTGGGGCGAGGGGCTGACTCCTTTCGTGATTTCCGGGGTCACCGAAGGGCAGGAGCCAAGCCAAAAAGGGACAAATCTAGTACAAAGGGCGTGGGGAGGAGGGGACAACGTCTATACCAGGTCAGCTTTGCTGACGCGTAAGAATACGAATATTTACTGGGTATCTAACTACCTGTCAGAATTCGTTCCATGCCTGTAGCTAGGCTATTCCACTTCATCTTCACCTCATGAGTTGGGTGCCTTTAGCATCGCCATTATACGGAAGAGGACACTGAGGCAGGTGACATGCCAAAGGGCATGAAGCCAGAGCGTGTTTGGATCCAGGCACTCTAAAACCAGTGTGCCTGGATTTTAATCTCTTCCGTCCATCACCGTGCTGATGCGCCGATGTCACCAGGAGGGGGTCCTGGGGCTCCGCAGGCCTCAACGCACCACCTGGCCTTATGTACGAATGGGGCAAATTCTAGAAAAATGCATATGCAGGCCAAACCCATGAAGCAATACAAACAGGGTGGTGTCTCTTTCATTAGATCAGGGAAACTTCCTCACGACAGATGTCAAGTGTATTTTAATTTTCGACACCTCTTCGTTCCTGGGGGCAGATACAGAACTCCTAAGTTGGGCTTTTATGTGGGTCTGTCTCACAGAAGGGCAAGTGGCTACTCTTTAGTGACTCGTTCCGCCCACAGGGCAGGAACTACAGACAATGGAGAGGAGACTCTCCTGCTCTCAAACTTTTTATCGAAGTGTGACCCGACGGAACTTTCTACAACGATGAAAATGTCCTGCGTCTGCGCTGCCCGATACACTAGTCACCAGTCACATGCAGCTGTGAAGCACTTGACACATGGCTAGTGCAGCCAGGGAGCTGAATTTTTAATTAGGACTGGAACTGAATTTAAGAAGCCACACCCAGCTTGCGGCTACCATATTGGACGGCATGGCCTCTAGAAGGTGTTGTGAGAAACTGAGGGGAATGGATCTAGGTTCTGTGCTCCCCCGAATGACTTTAGAATCTTTTACTCTACAGTCTCTGAAAAGGCTTGGGAAGGTGGAAAGTAGGTTGGGCTCTGTCACAGGCTGGGCTCACAACTGTCACCTTGGCCCTTGGGAGATGAATGGCTCACCTTAAAAATCCAAGTGGGGAAATAGTTATTTCGGGGGTGGGTTTTCGTTTCATACCAAATCAGATTATAACACTTGTGTCGTTTTTAAACATTTTAATATTCATGGGCTCCATTCCCTACTCTTTCCAACCGGGACCCAGGATCTACAATCTAAAGGCCAAGTCTACCCATATACTGCGATGTCCGAGCCCATGACGTGGCTGGAGGAAGGAAGCCAAAACTATCTTTTCCTCCTCCACCTAAGACTTGTGCTCCCTCTAGGGTTTTGCTTCCAGAAGCAGACCTCGGAGCTCTGAAACAATGTCTGTGAGATCAAATGGCAGAGGCATCGAGGGGTCATCCTTTTCCCAATATGGCCGACACTCTGGCTTCTGACCCGCGGGTAGAGTCCGGGCAATTCGGGACTGGCACCTGGAAGAGTAGGAAGAAGAGGAATTAATCCACGGGAAGAAATTCCTGGAAGACCCAAACTCATGTGCGGTTTGGAACGACACTGCCCAACATTCCGGATATAACCCTCTGTGGTGGTGGTGGTGACAATGTGAAAGAATGAGTTCACCAGGCAGCAAGCAGGTGCTTTTAAGATGGAAGAACTGTTCTTCGTGGTGCTGGAACTTCTTTTTCATGTTTCAATATCTGCTTTGTATCATCTCCAGTGGCTTCCACAGAAGCCAGTCACCCAGGGAAGTTCAGTTACTCTGCCTTTATTTATTTATTTTTTAAATGTTTTATTTATTTTTGAGAGAAAGAGAGACAGTGTGGGCAGGGGAAGGTCAGAGACAGAGGGAGACACAGAATCCGAAACAGGCTCCAGGCTCTGAGTTAGCTGTCATCACAGAGCCCGACACGGGGCTCAAACCCACAAACCATGAGATCATGACCTGAGCCAAAGTCAGACGCTCAACCGACTGAGCCACCCAGGTGCCCCAGTTACTCTGCTTTTAAAATGGTGAATTATTTTTTTCATTATCTCAACCATTATTTAAAGTGTGTGATTAAGCCATTATCAGATTTAAATGTTTGTGGGATTTCAATGTATTACTAGATTACTGGGAAAGATTAAATTGAATTTACTGCATTAAAACGTCCAAGAATAGATTAAACAATATTACAGGCTGGGATTGACTTTGGAGATTCTAGAGATTTACAAGTGTCCCAGCCTGCTGTTCTCAGGAAAAGGCACTCCAAGGAGAGACCCGATTTATAAGGATATATGCAAATAGAGGTTAATAATCATTTCCACTGATGAATAGGTGGGGAAAACTTCCACAAAATTAAATTAAAAGGCTAGCAAGAGTTACTCCCTAAGGAAAACACTTAAATCACGGTTTTTATTAAATGGATTATTCATCAATAGTAGAGAAATTAATTATCACATGCAACTAAATTATAGCCTTGTAGGGGGAAAAAAAAAGTTGAGGCAACACCATCGCCACCCTGGCAGGCATCTACCTCTCGGAAAGACCGGCTTATTTAAAATTGGTCTGGGAAAGCTCAGTGGCTTTGGCTTTATTCGTCTGCAAAACGAGGATCAGAGAGAATGAAACACAAATCGCAACAAGAAATGAAGAGTTTCCCAACTGTCTTGGAGCGCAGGGCAGTGTAAGCGTATATACCCAAAAGGAAATACGGTGAGTCCGCTTGAAAGAGCCGCATGGGTTCTTCCCCACCCCCACTGTCTCTGCATTGTTCTCTAAATCAATTAAAAAGTGGTTCTTACCCACGATTTGTCTTCCGTGTAGGGCCAGCTATGAAGAGATCAAAGAATGGAATCTCCTTGGCCCTCCCTACTTCCCAGCGTGATGGTAGAGAAGGTTCCTAACTAAAAGACATCTTCTTCTCTGGGGAGTTATTAATGGTGAGGGGATCCCCACGGGAAAGCATACTTCAACTTTACACCTATTTTCTCGTGTGGTTAATTGCTATACCGGCATCCTATGCACTCAATCCGTCGTACATTACACGTAACATTCCAATATATCTTCGGCTCTCCGCATCAGACCCTGATAATAGCGTCTGTTAACATGCACTAAGTACTATTATGTAGCACATCACTTCATAAATAATAAGATTAGCTGACCTCAGGGCCCCAAGAAGAGTAATGTGTTTAAATGTTCTCATTATTTATTTAAAACAAGAATTAAAGCAACAGAAGCTGCTTTTGACAATCCTCTTAGCATAAATATTAAACTGTTTGCACCGATAAGCCCCACACAGCACTGAAGAACAGAGGGTGCGTTCTGCAGACTACTTAATAATAGGTGTTTGACACTCGGCCGCTTGCTGTCGTGGTTCTGAGGGTGCGTCTCTGTAGTTCCAGAGATAGTCTCTAAATCACATGAAAGGCATGGAGGGGAATTAATATTCAGGAGAAGCTGCGACTAATTACAAAGGAACTCGGCAAAGCTTTTTAAATTGTGCTTTCTCTCTGCTTCAGAATCACAGAGTAATGCTCAATTTACTAGGTAGGGAAAGTTATTCCAAATTGAGCATTTCAGCCTCTCAGCGGATAAATTATCTGCGAGCACATTATCCCGGCTGGCAGATTAAAGGGCTATGATAAGTGTCGATCCACCTAGAATATCATAAGGTTTGTGAAAAGTCAATAGCAATGCTTTTTCACCTGTCAAATGGGTTTGCCCCCTCACTTTGAGAAAGAATTGCAAATATTCAATCCTCTGCTGCAGAGGTTTGCTTCTGCCGTGTTCTAGAAGCTTCCCACCAGCTTTTCTTCTGGGGAAAGGTGCTCTGTGATTTTCTGCGACCAAAAGCCTGCCTGGTGTGAATGCCGGTTCCTTTCCATCCAGGTCCTGAGAGGCTAGGCGCTCTGTGCACTCACTGCCTCCCTCTGGGCCAGAGGTAGAAACCTTTGTTGGGTTTCTTTACGGTCATAATTCAGATTTTTCCAGGTCGCTTTGAAACTCCCTTTAAGACCAATGCTCCTGGCCAATTTCCAAAAGGCGGTGACGGGGCCCAGCAGAGGGCTCGCTGTTTTGGCTGATGCATTTGCCTCCAGGGAGGATGGCCGTGGCCACCTCAAGTCGTACTGTCCGATTCAACACCGTGCCAGACGGTGGAACTCTCTGAAGAAGGGACTGAGAATCGCGTGAAGGCATGGCCGCGTTTCTGTTTTAACTTCTCTTGCTCAAATCACTCATTCTGCCTCTTTCGGGCTCATCTCCTGAGATGGGGCAGGAGGGAGGTTGAAGCGCCGTGGTTAACGGTGAGTGAGTGAGCGAGTGAGTGATGATGATGATGATGATGATGATGATGATGTTGATGATGATGATGATGATGGGAATACTAGTACTTACTTTAGGGCTGTTGTAAAGGTTAAATCAATTAGTACCTGCGGAGTGCTCAGAACACTTTCGGGCATGGGGTGCCTGGGTGGCTTAGTCGGTTAAGCGTCCGACTTTCGCTTGGGTCATGATCTCGCGGTTCGTGGGTTCGAGCCCCGCGTCGGGCTCTGTGCTGACTGCCAGCTCAGAGCCTGGAGCCTGTTTCAGCCTGTGACTCCCTCTCTCTCTGACCCTCCCCTGCTCACGCTCTCTCTCTCTCTCTCCTAGAAATAAATAAAACATTAAAAAAAAAAAAAGAACACTTCTGGGCATGCAGTAAGCACTCAGCAGATATTAAATATTATCACTGCCATTACTTCCACGATGAGCCCTAGTGAAGGATAGGTGATAAAGTCAAGTGTGGAATTACCTGTGGTCCCTGTGGCTATCCCCTCTCTTCATACCAACTGAGTGGGTGGCCTCTGGACTGGCTCTTTCTAGCAGCTCTGGAGGTACGGAAGGAGCTCTTTCTGGCTTGAATCAAACTGAGCCTGTGGCTGAATCCTATCACAGTGTGATACTCCAGGACCCTGAAGCGTAAGCAGTCTAGCTTTCCAGGGACGGGCTAGAACGCTCAGATTCGGGACGGCTCAACAGTTATTCCCGAAGATCTAGAATTAATATAAGGTGCTGTTGTCGGACTCTCTGAGTGGCGGCTGTTCCGGATTGACTCGGCATTTACGGAAAAGAAAGTCGGATTGTTGCTTAGCACACGTACTCTATGGTTCCGTGCGAAAGAAAGGGGCCCCAAGTTCTCTTAGGAAGTGCTGACCTTCGTGAACACTTGCAGTCTGTGTCTATCCCTACCTCCCCCACCAAGAAGGCTGGACTTTTCCTGCAGGGAACCCGTCCCTTCCCCGTGCTTGACCATGTGGTTTGGGGGGATTGGGTTCATCTCTACAGCCGGGGGAGAGCCTTGACTGACTGCCTAACGAGTACACCACACTCTCCCAGCCACGGGAAGAGGCTTAGGGGGAAGCACATGACCCAATCCAGGGCAAGAGTGGGGCACTAACCCAGGGACTGGTGCGGGGACTGCGGAAAAAGCCTGTCTTATGTCCTGTGAACCATCAGGGTGCACCATCTGGGACCGCCACGGTCATTTGGCTACATGCAGCAAGGGGCTGGCTCCTGGGGGATAGTGTTCATAGCTGGATCAAGCCTCACCTGAAGTCTGTGCTTAGATATTTTTCAGGTTCACAATTTGTTATTGAGTTACGTCTTCCTGTCACTTGCAGCCAAAGAGTCCCAGCTGATATGTGGGCCATGCTCCCTACCTGTCAGTTGCTACCCCCCCCCCCGCCCCCGCGACATTTTACTACACCCTCTGTTGCCACGGGCCTGTCTGCCAAGGGGACATGGACGATCTTGCCTCCAAACTGAGATGCGGCTGACACGGTGTGGTGCATGGAGGGACCGTCCGGGTATGAAGGCAGGAAAACGCTGGCTTTTGCTTTGGGTTCAAATGATATTTCTATTTGAGGCGAACTTCTCTGCAGAAAACAAGGGTGCGCTGGTGTCATCCAAATAGGTCCCTGCACGCAGACAAGCCAGCTTCAATGGCCACAGCTGGGTGACTTTTCTCAAGGAGGTTAAAAGAAAACTACCCTACACTCCGGGCTCCCAAGGAGAGTAGATCATTCCAGACCCACCCAAACAGTAAGAAGGTGGTCTTTTCCGCTTTCAACCTTGTCCTCTCTATTCCCATCCTAAAGCAAATCCTATTTTATTTATTTAAATTTTAAACGTTTATTTATTTATTTATTTATTTTGAGAGAGAGAGAGAGAAAGAGAGAAGAGAAGAGACTCTCAGGCAGGCTCTGCGCTGTCAGCATGGAGCCCGATGTGGGGCTTGATCCTGTGAACCGTGAGATCATGACCGGAGCTGAAACCAAGAGTTGGATGCTTAACTGGTTGAGCCACCGAGGCATGCCAAGCAAACCCCATTTTTAATGCTTCCTGGTGAGCAAATAAACTTGGATCTACCCAGAAGCCCCTGGCCCCTTTCATGAAGCGTTACAAGGGAACAAAGGAAAATAACACCCACGGCATCTCTCTTTCCCTCTCAAA